GTGATGAGTTTATTCTGTTTTCTATATTTTGTAGACTGAAAAATTTTCATAATAAAAAGGTAAAAACAAAAGAAGTCAAGAGAACTTAACCAGTTTTGCCACCCATATTCTATTCTACTGTGGTTTCCCAGACATGTCCCTCGCTCTCAGGTACACAGTACTTTGTATTAGCGCCTGGTGTCCCCACACCGAATGTTCTTCCCACGCCCTCCACCCGTATCCCCCCACTGGGTCCCCTAGGGGAGTCTACTAAACAGTCCCAGCTGCACTCATCTCTGTTCCTCTCAACCCTCAGTCTCCCCGATCACCCCACAGCTCGTGACATCATCACTGTCATCATGGTCGTCATCCACCATGACGCGTATGAAGCACTTTCAAAAGTCCCAAATACTGAGCCCAGTGCTGTACATCAGTCTGCTGCTTCTCTCTGAGGACACCCTCTGACGTAGGCACTATTTACAAATGAGGAAACTGAGGCTCAGAGAGTCAGAGGACTTCTGAAGGTCACATACGTGGAACATGGCAGAAACAGTTCGCTCTGGTTCTAGAACCTCTCTGCCCTCCCTCTCTGCCCTCCCTCTCTGCGCCTCACGAGAGTGACTTCCACTGTATCCGTGCCTTCATCCTGCCCCTTGACCCTCTCGTCGCTTTTTACCTCTTCCCTACTGATGCTCCTCCAGCTCAGCGCTGTGTCCCTGCAGGGGAGGCTGCCTGGCACCGCCTTACAGCTCCCCGGGCACCTGCACAGCAACGAGAGGCTGCTGGGTTGACTTTCATCGTTCTCTCAACGTCAAGACGCACTAGAGGAGCCTAGAGCACCTGCTCCGTCACCCATCCCTGCCGGCTCAGGGTCAAGTGGCACAGTCTGCATCCATGACCTTGCTTTTCCCGTTCCGTCTCTAACACATCCCTTGTTCCCATTCCAGTCCTCCTGAAGGAGGGGACATCCCCTTGGCCATCTACATCCCCCTCCTTGCCTCTTCTTACCTGAGACCCAGAGCAGCAGCAGCAGCGACAGAGCCATGGCCACCCCCAGGTCTCTGTCACTGTGTGCGGGGCGTCCCAGGGCACTCGCAGTTGCTGGAGGATATTGCCCCATAGGGGTGTTTTCCACATTCCCAAAGAGGTTTAGCTGTCACTTTGAATTGAGAAACCCCAAGGGAAATGTGATAAGAGGGACCAGCTCGGGAAAATGCAGAAGACGACGAAGAAAAGACATCCCTGTCCTTGTGACATCTTCCTTCCCACTTTCATTATGTCACAGCCCGGTTGGGCAACACTCAGTAGCTCCCCATTCTCCTCCACAGCACGTCTAGACCCGCCCATCTGATGTCGCACCTCTGCTCCACTCACGTCCTCAGGCCACCAAGACATCGTCATCGCTGGACACTGACCACTGCATCCCGAAACTGTCCTCCATTCCCCCTGACTGGAATGAATTGTTTGCCCTTCAAGGTCCAGTCCCCACCTTCCCGATGACATGCCTTCTTTAATCTGACTCCACACCGTGGTTCTCAAGTATGGTATGTGGCTGGGCCACTCAGGAAGCTTGGCAAACATGCACATGGCTGGACTCCACCCCCAGAGACTCCATTTGGGGAGTCTGAGAGGACCCAGGAATCTGCATTTTTAACAAGCAGCCCAGGTGATTCTGAGGCAAGTGGTCCAAATACATACAACCACAAAAGCTCTGTTGCGGTCAGAGGGCCCCAAGGCCTTCCCGGGGCACTCCGCCTGTGGATCAGGCATGCGCTTCCGGAGCCCCCGCCTCGGCACGGGAGTGGAGGCCGGATGACAGCGGGCCTGGAGGTAGCTCACTACCTTGGCAGGAAGGCCGGCAGGCACCAGGCCTTTACTCCGGCCGTCTCGTTTAATCCTGTCAGCTGTGGGAGGCTGTGCCATGAATATTTGTCATCTTTGGGGTCTCCAGTCGCAATGCCTTTTCCATTGGGTGGCGCGGTATGCCCCAGGGTGTGGGCCTCACTGGGACGCAGAGCTCCACGTCCCCCTCTGTTGAGATGGAGGCAGACTCCTCCTGCCCCTTCTCCCTGGCACCCATGGCACGGGCTTGTGACTTGACCTAAGCATGGCCAAATGCATGGTCCTGCCCAGGATTCTGGATCCCACGGGCGTGATGGAAGCTGAGGGGCCAGCTGGAGATGACTGTACATTGAGAGTCCATGAACAGGATGGTGGCACGTACTAGTGGCTGCGAGTGTCCGGTGGGGGGCAGCAGGTCAATGGCAAGTTCATCACTGGACTGTCTCAGGCTATCACCTCAGCGGAGGCCTCTGCTGCCTGCTTCTTGGTTTCTGCTGTTCTCTAAGCCCAGTCCTCCAGCCTTCTCGCCGATCTACAAACAACCGGCATCTTTCTCAGTTCCTTTGCTGTTCAAGGTAGCCGGAATTGGATTCCGTTTTGGGCATCAAGGATCATGACTGGTATTGGTTATTTTGTCCACGAGGCCATGAGCAGTATTCCAGGATGAGGCCCAGAGAGGGGAACTGAGTCACTCAAGATGAGACATACGTCAAGGATGCTGTGGAGCTGGGATTCAACCCAGGAGCTGTTTGATTCCAAGGCCTATGTAACTAACCACACGACATGACTGGATCAGTCAAGAGCCCCGGAGAGAACAGGTGGCTCACTGAAACTGAGCGCTTGAGACGTGTTTGACAAAAGTGTGGTAGAGTTTGGGGAGATGAGTAAGGGCTCCTGCAGTACGCTGAGGCTGGCGGCAGTGGTGAGTCATTACCGCGTCTAGGCTAAAAGGGCAAGGGGGTGGAGCAGTTGCCCAAACTTGGAGACAGTGGCTGTTTGGTGAGGGGCACGTAGGGGCCTCCAGTAGAGGAATCCCGTCTTCCAGAGAGAGGAAGCCCAGAGGATAAAAACCCTGCCCTCGGGCTCTTCCCCTTCTCTGCTCTGCTCCATGCTGCCCACTGGCCAAACCCAGCCAGAAGCTGGTAGGCAAGGGAGCCTGTGGATTGAACCCATCTTGGTCAGGAAAGAAAAGGATGGAGAGCGGCTTACAGGTGCAAATGGGAGAGCATCCAGCACGGCCATTCTTTTTTTTATCCTCACCCGAGGACATTTTTTGGTTTTTTGTTTGGATAGAGTGAAAGGGAGCGAGAGGAAGAGAGAGAGTAACATCGATGTGAAAGGGACACATCAAGTGGTTGCCACCTGCACGACCAACCAGGGCCGGGGACAAACTGCAACCGAAGTACGTGCCCTTAGCGGGAACCGAACCCGGGTCTCTCCAGACCACAGGCCGACGCTCTAACCGCTGAGCCAAACCGGCCAAGCCAGCACAACCATTTGTCTTCCAAGTTAACACACATCATTTCTCAGGCAAGTTTAATATATCGGACTCAAACTCTACTTAATCTATAATTAAGTGACGCACACAAGCGCACTGACTCATGAGTTGGTTACCTCTACCATGACTGTGTCCGGTGTTTGGTCAGGAGAACTCTCTCTCCCAAACGAGCTTGAGAGCCACCAGGACAGAGCCACATGCTGTGCTTCGGTAGGTACGGAGGGGCCCCGGGAGCCTGCATTTTAAACAAATGTTCCAGGAGACTCTGATGCAGGTGGTCTGAGGACTAGAGTTTGAGAAACGTTGCCCTAAAGTGTTCTGCCTCTCCTAGGTGACGCTTAACAATGGCACCTCCCTTGCCCTGGCCATTTTTGTCAACTTTGTGAACAGGGACTACATTGGACCTGCTAAACTTCAGGTCCCAGGCCAGGACCTCAGAAAGCAACCTCAGTAACCCTGTGGTCACTGCCCCTGAGCTGCGCAGCTTCCCCAGGCAGGAAAATAGATGCTCTGAGATGAACAGTCGCCGGAAGAAGAGCTTCTCAGAAGACATGGATTCTCTTCACAGCTCTTCTGATGGACTCAAGATTGGGGGACCAGAGAGAATCTCTCTGGGCTCAGCGCCGTCCTCCGGGAGGCTTCGGACAGAGCAGGTGGTCTCAGGCTGATAAGGAAGTCCCTGTGGGATGGCAGTGGGGGCAGGACGGGGTGGGGCAGGACTCTCCCTTAGCGCTCGGGCACCTCGTTTTCACAGCAGTGGGGGAAATTCATGCCGATTGTAGGAATGTGTCTCCCAACACAAGCTGGATGTGTTTGTTCTGGGGGATTTGAGATGAAATTGGCCTTGGCCTTTGTTGAATTGGAATAGAAGGACTGGTCGTTCTTTCTACACCAGTGGGGGACCCTTCCCCCCTTAAAACCAAAGAGGTAGGAAATGGGGAAGTCCTGCTTTAAATCCGTTGGATTTTGCAAGACACCGGTGGGCCTGGGCACCTATTGCAAAAGGGGGCTGAAGGGGACTCCGAGGGGCAGACCAAGAGAAGAGGAAGGCAGAGTGGGGAGCCGGGAGGACACCTGAGGAGGGCCTCTAGAAGCCCACGTGGTGAGATCTTGTCACCCCACCGTGCCTGCCCCTGTGCGATACAAGGAAAAGAGGCACCGAAGGCACCACAGGAGGGACTCCTGGCTGTTCTCTCCATGTGGGCACAGCCTTCAGTACAGGAACTCTGCAGTTTTATTCCTGCCAGCAAGTGATGCCGTACTGCCCATGTGGCTTCATTCCAGCCGCGCGCCGCCCTGCCCTCCCTCGGGTGTGCTGAGAGCCCAGTGATGACGCCCACCATAGCGCTCCCCTCGAATCCGATCTCGTCCTCCCCACGTGGCCTCAGGACGCTGCCTTCTGCTTAACGTGGTTTCTCTTTCCTAATATGGAATTCTCCATGTGATATCAGGTCTTGTCCTCCCTCCATGATTTCAACCCCCTTTTCTGGGAGTGTAGGGAAGGGCCACAGATGGAGGGAGAAACCCAGTGATTGATTCCGGAAGAGAGGCAGGCCCAGTGGCCGGGGGAGCCGGGTGCCCCTGCGGAGCATCTCTGTCCAGGCCAAGCCACAGTGCCGTGTCCAGGGCCAGGACCAGGGCAGATTTAGCCGCTGTGCCCTCTGTACCTCACAACCCCCACAGGACAGTGAAAAGCATTGCACTCCATCTGTATTTAATGCGAAGCCTGGGCCGCAGGTGGAATGGAGGCCCAGGGCATGTTGGGGGCTGCATCTTCTCTTCTGATTGGGCACAGTTCACATCCAAGGTTGTTGGTGACATGTAGGGAGTCAGCAGGGCCAGGAAGGGGCATCCCGAGCCTTAGAAATAACCTGTGTTACAGATTCAGCTCAGTCATTGTGCCCCCCCCCTCCCCCCCCGCCTTCACACTCTTCTGGCTCAGCTGCCAGGGGGCGGTGGATGGAGGTCACGGGGCATTCTCGTGTGTCCATGGGCCTAGGGTCCACATGACCTCTGTGTGACGAACAGCAGGGCAGTGAAGACCAGGCTCTTACTCAGGATCCCACACACCACGATAATGATGATGCTCATCCGAGAGAACCTGCGGGAGAGAAGATTCCATGCCGATGTCAGCAGACAACTCCTCGTTCTTGAGTTTCTCTCTACAAACGTTCTGCACACCACTTACTCTATCCGCACAGGTTCTCAGAGCCTTCCCCGTACTGACGGGGCTGTGCGTGTTTGTCCCGTCGCCTAAACTGCTGAGGGGTAGAGAACGCGGGGCCAGGGGACACAGCGAGGAGCAAGGGCAGGTTGAGCTCCCCTTCCTGCACTGCGATGAGGGGAGAGAACGGGGGCCCAGAGCCAGGAGGCCTAACTTCCAGTCTCAGCATCATGACCTACCTCCTGGGAGAGGCCCCTCATCTCTTTGGCCTCAGTTTCCACATCTATCAACTGAAAAGAATCCAATTCTTGTCAAAATCCCATCCTGAATTTTTATAGATTTTTAGCAAAAATTATTCTAAATGTCCTGGATGGTCCAGCCAGTGTGGCTCACTGGCTGAGCATCGACCCCTGCACCAAGAGGTCAGCGGTTCAATTCCCAGTCAGGGCACATGCCCAGGTTGTGGGCCCGATCCCCAGCGGGGGGCGTGCAGGAGGCAGCCAGTTGATGTTCTCTCTCATCGATGTTTCTCTCTCTCTCTCCTTCTCCCTTTCTCTCTAAAATAATTAAGAAAAAAAATTTTTTTAAATAACAATAAAATAAATGTTCTGGATAGAAATCAGTAGATAGCATAAAAAGGGGATAGAAATGAGTGAGGACACTTGGCCCATCTAGACTCAGTGAACCTGGAAATGGATCATAGCAAAAGCAACCTGCACAATAAGACACGGGACAGAAAGAAATAGGTGGTGGTGAAACAAACTGAAATCCAAAGACAGATCTAATGTTATGTAAGAATTTAACATCTAAGGAAATTAATCGGCAGCCCAGTAGGTAGGCACGGATTGTTGACTGAACAGTCCCGTGGTACCTGGAGTGCAGTAGGAAGGAAAAGTCATCCTTTCTACAATTCATACCACGTAGAATATACTCCCCCCTTCCAAAGAATAACAAAGCAGCAATTTTAGAATCGACATTTGTCTACGTAAAACTGAAATGTACACACTAGCAAAGCGACAAATGACATGGTAGCCATAGAAAGCCGAGAAATGGCCCTTTTGCGCTGACGTCCACCCTCGGCCTGCGAAACTGGCCTGAAACACCAGCAACCAGATGTTGGAGGTTCAGACACTGGTGTGCTGGCAGGGCGGGGGCAGGGCACCGCTCTGACCCTCGCTTGGGTTTGGGATCTGCTGCCAAAAGGTCCCAGCTCTGGCCTCCTATGCCTCCACCTCCTTCCGGTCTCTCCAGCCAGTGTCCCACCTCATGCCCTCCCAACCTTTTAGTATTTTCATGCAGCAAGCTCCTGGGTGCGTTCACTGTCCCTGGCCAGCACACAGCCCTTCTGGAGATTGCACGCAGGCCAGACCTCTGCAGTGCCTGGGAGTTCATGTGTCCCCGGGCTGCCCTCACTGAGCACGGGAAATTTGGGAATATAAATACTCCAGCTCTTCGCCCCTGATACAGACAACCCTGAGTGTGACCTGTGGGTCCCCAGGAGCCTCCGCAGGACTGAGCCAAAGTTCCCCCTGTGGGACTCAGCTTGGCTATGAGACCCTTTGCTAGGCTTCCTTGTCCCCTGGCCCCACTTCCCTAACGGTTTGATCTGGGATAGCTCCCCAAAACATCTGCACGAGCCTTGTCCCACAGCCTGCTTCTGGGGACCCACCCAAGACAGGGTGACAAGTGGCTTCCTCTGAGGGGTCTCTCCATCTGTCCCCAGACTGGGGACTCAGCTCTTCCATTACCTGGGCAAACAGTTCCCCGTATTAGACTACTTTGTTTTCAAACAGCTCAGTGGCTTCTGTCTTCCTCCCTGGACTCCGAGAAACTAATTTATAATTAATTACTAGATAAAGTTAATGGATAAAAGAGGTACGAGCACTAATAAGAATGTGGACAAAGGTTATGCACTGTTACTGACAAACTGGAAATTAAAAGTTGTGAATAAATAAAAATTTTAGTCCTTGCCAGGGTGGCTCAGTTGGTTGGGCATCATCTCATGCACCAAAAGGTTGCCGGTTTGATTCCCGGTCAGGACACATGCCAGGGTTTCGGGCTCCATCCGTGGCAGGGGGCGTGCAGGGGGCAGCTGATCGATGTTCTGCTCTCACATTGATGTATCTCTTTCTCTCTCCCTCTCCCTTCTTCTCTCTCTCTAAAAATCAAGAAAGATATTTTTAAACAATGTTGACTCTCACTAGCTCACTTATTTTATTTAGTTCATAAAGGTTTACTGAGCACCTGTTATGTACCAGGCACTTAGTCTGGTGCCAGCGGAACTAGACAAGGGGAGAAAGGGCTCTGTCTCTCCCAGCACGGAGCTCATCTCCACCGTCGGAGGGAACGGCCGGTTCACACCTATTTGGGAGGGACGTTTTAGCAACACCGAGACCTTGGAAGGCATGCTTCACTCATGCCTTATGGATCACACTGCAAAGTGCCCCCAACTTTGGAAGAGCACCTGGTAAGATGTATACAAAGCAATATACATGTTCATATTTTCTTAACAGAAATTTTGTTTGAATAAATGATTTAAAAGATGCCCTGGCCAGTTTGACTCAGCGGTTAGTCAGATTATCGACCTGAGGACCTACGGGTCTCCGGTTTAATTTCCAGTCAATGACTTGTACCTAGGTTGCAGGTTCAATCCCTGGTCCTGGTCGGGTCATGCAGGAGGCAACCAGTCGATGTGTCTCTCTCACATCAATGTTCCTCTCTCTCTCTCCCTCCTTCCCTTCTACTCTATATAAAAATCAATGGGGAAATATCCTCTGGTGAGGATTAACAAAGAAGAACAAGAAGGAGGAGGAGGAGGAGGAGAAGACACCTGCAAAAATATGTCTATCTCAGAGCTAATACTATAAAAAAAGGAAACCGCAACATGTAAAAACAGGCAAATGATCATGTAAGTCATGGTTTCTCCATCGATACAAAAGTATGCATTCATTGAAATTACAATTACAAAGAATAGGTATCAACATCAACAAAGAACTTTAGCGCGGAAAAATAATGAAAATGTTTAGAATCACTCCTGTGTTAAAGTGTGCATGACCGTGAATACACTTTGGAATGAGGCAAAGATGCCATTCCCTCCCTCCTCTGACATTCAAGGAAACAGAGGGAGAACTGGGGAGAGTCCGACCTCACCAGAGCCTCCTCCTCTCTCTAGCACCACCTCCCTCCTCCCCTGGGAAGTTCTACCAGGCAGAGGTGAGCCATTCTGCTCCTGTGCTCCACCCTCCCCATCCCTCTCTCCACATCCTCTCAGCACAAGGACTGGGAATCAAAGGGCTAGGTGTCCAAAGCCCCACCCCACCATACCTGATGACATCCGTCCCTTGTGTGGGGTTGACTTCCAGGCCAGGAGAGGAGAGGCTGGCTGTTGGCATGGGCAGGTGTTGGGTCACAGTCCTGGAACTGTTACGCAGCGTGCGCCGGGCCTTGGTGGTAATAGGAGGAAGGGTGGAAACCTGGGCCGAGTTCCTGGCAGGACTCTTTTCTGAGGCAGGATCTGCAAGAAGACACATTGGGTGGATGGATAGGTGGGTGGACAGGTGGGTGGATGGATGAATGGATGGATGGATGGGTGGTATGGTATTGCTAAGATTTATTGTTTACTATATGGGGTCAGCATGGGTCAGAGACAGGACGAAAGGAAAGAAGAAAGGGAGGAAGAAAGAAAAGAAGGAAATCATTTCCTGTTCATGTTATTGGGAATGCATTGCCTGCTATTCTTCACCAATCCATACACCCCTACCTTCTTCGAGAAGAATTCCTTGATTACCATAGCTTCTACATTCGCCTGGCCTTGCACTGATCTATACCTGTGGCATATTGCTTCGCAAGCCATCTTTTATCAATGTATTTCACATATTACCTTGTCTTCCTTGGGAACTTGAACCTATCTCTCTTTCCTCTGCCTCCCTTAATTCATCAGATCAACATCTACTGCAGGCCTCCTGTGTGCCCCACACTCCATTCACCACGCTCCATTCATTGCTGGTCTTACAGACTGGAGCAAGGTACAGGCTCCTCCCTCAAAGTGCTCAGAGACGAAATGGGGAAACCAGAAGTGAACTGGCCATTGCTACCTGGCGAGACAGCGTTGTCCACGAGTGGGGGTCCAAAGGGAGTCCTGGAGCCATGGACCACAGCACCAGCAACACCTTCAAGAAGATCAGAAACGCAGAATTTAGATCCCACCCTAGACCTGCTGAACCAGTCTGTACCTGAAACAAGCTCCCCAGGTGGTCTTTGTTCACAGGAAGGTCTGAGAAGCACTGCTTTGTGAGGACCCAGAAGGGCCATCAAATGCATCTTAGGGAGGGTGAGAGTGGATCCCTGACTTCTACATGGAGACCTGGAGACTGAGACTAAATTATCCCATGTCTCCCACTCACCTTTCTCTGTACCTGTTTTCCTATAAGAGCACCCCAAATTAGGCTTTGCTACTGAAGAGGAATCCGTACATAGAAACCACTTCTCACTGTTGGACCAGATGCCTCTCAGGGACCTCAAGTAACAGACATGGAGCTTCTGGGAGAAAGACAGGCTGCTGGTGCACCACCATGGCTTCTGCCCCCACTCGCCCGCTCTCCCCATCGGCCTCCCGGTCCCAGACCACTCACCGTTCCCCACCGTCACCGTCAGGCGGACAGGATGGAACAACACGTAGGGGTCTTTGGGAGGCTGGTGGATCACACACTCGTACAATCCCGAGTCCTCCAGTTGAAGGTTGGTCATTCGGACGTACATTATGCCATCAGTGGGGAGCTCTTCCAGGAAGTACCTCTGGCCATTGTCGATGGGCTCCGAGCCTCCCCCGATTACTGCCAGTGTCCGGCGCTCCCCCTCATCTGTCAGCCTCTGCCATGCCTTCTTGCTTCTGGCGTACATGACGTTGAAGGGACATTGGACATTCAGGGTCTGCCCCACTGTCAGAGTAATCTTTTCCTCGTTTAATTTAACTGCAGCTTGGAGTTCTGTAAGCAGGGAATCAAAGTTAGGCTCTGTAAGGAACAGCTTTCCTCTCTTTGGGGGAAAAAAAAGAGAGAGAGAGAGAGAGAGGAATCACCTCTTTTTCTTGTTCAATCACCCATTTTCCAGAAAGAGCCTATGGCCTCCAGCGAAGAGGCATCTTCTCTGCAAGCCAGCCCCAGACCTCGGGTCTTTGCACTGGGAGTAGTTTTCTTTTTATTGTTTGTTTGTGTTTGTTTTAAGTACAAGAGCTAGCCTGCATATGGTTCTTGCAAGTCATCTTTTATAAATGATTTTTTTTGAGAGGAAGAAAGTACCTGATTAGAGATAGGACATGGTGCATGTGCTAAGACCACGTGTGTCGGGGCACAATGGAAGCGAAATATTCTAGAGAAAGACACAGAGCGGATGTGCAGACACAATACCAGTAGGGAGCAACTCCTCCGAACACTTAGAGGAACTTCATCTAAGTCAGGAAAAAGAGATCGGATCAAGAAACTATTGGAAAAACTGTGAGGAAACCATCTTGAGGACATGGTAGGCAGAGACATCTAACTCTCTAGTATTCCTCTGTGCCTTCCTTGGGTAGCAAAGCACCTTTATCTCAGGAGACCGATTCTATGTGGCTTTACTGATGGGGATGCCCACATCCTCAAGGATGGACACACAACACAGGCTTAGCCAATCAAAGAACCCCATCACCCTGGCCACTCTGATTGGTTTGGAATGGGCACATGACTGGGGCTGAGCCGATTGGAATTCTCCCTGAGACTGCTGTAGCTATTAAGAAGAATGCTTTTTCTTGCTGAAGCTGATAGGTCAGTGGGATAGGAAACGTCAATTGCTAGGTTTCTACTGGGGGCAGTTTTGCCTCCCCGGGGACATTGGGCAATGCCTAGAGACAGTTTTGATTGTTGTAACTGGGTTGCACCGACAACAGTTTCAGTCATACTCTTGGAGGTTGACCCAGGTTAACCATCTGGAATGGGAATGATCTTCCTGTCTGGTGGAAGGGAGCCTTGCTGACAGGAGGGCCAAGTAGAATGGAAATAAGAAGACCCAGCTCTATGGTTTCAACTGGTCACAACAGGGCTCTGTAACTTTGCTGAGGGACTACACTGTATCCATGCACTCAGGCCTGGGATACCTTCAACCATGGAACACCAACTCTCAGGCAGGACAGCAATGCTGAATTAAATTGTAGTTCCGGCTATCACTGTCTACAACTAGCACTGCTACTATTAATACGATCGCTACATACACACACGTTCAGTCCTGAGCGATAGCGCTGAGAGTGATCATTGAAAGCTGCCAGCTGGCCCCTCTGATGGAGTCTCTGGGCTGTCACCAGAGCCCGCAGGCATGCCCGCCTCCGGATGGCCCAAGAGCTCTCGCAGGCCCCGCCCACTTCAGCCTGCTGTTGGAAAGATCCAAGCCAAGGATTCCTGAAGACTCTGAAAGTGAAACCAGGCTTGAAGGCCAATTCTTCTGGGACTGCACTTCAATTTCTAAGGAAACCTTAAAAACAAAATTCCTGGTGACTCCCACGAATTCTGGTCCAAGAGACAGGCGAGCAGAGGCTAAGTGTTGTCTTAAACCAAGTTCGGTTCTCTCGTTCGTTCACTCATTTATCAAACCATGGGTGAGAATGTCCTCTGCGCCAGGCACTGTGCTGGGCTCAGAAACATGCCCAGGCTCCACTCCCCACCCTCTGTAACATTAATTTAAGAAGCCCTAATCTCTTAATCAATGGCATAGGTAAATATTTGCCAACTCCCTGGGCAACGGGGATGCTATGATCTGAAAGTTTGAGTCCCGCCACAATTTGTTCGGTCCCTGGCCCTGGTCCGGGTCGTGCAGGAGGCAGCCACTCGCTGCGTCCCTCTCACATCGATGTCCCCTCCCCCCCTCTATCTAAAGATAAATGGAAAAATATCCTTGGGTGAGGATTAGAAAAAAAAAAGAAGAAGAAATCCTAACCCCCACTATGATGGCATTAGGATGCGGGGACTCTGGGAGGTGAGCAGGTCATGAGGGCTTTTCCCTGATGAACAGGATCAGTGCCCTGTGAAAGGCTCCAGAGAGCTCCCCTCCTCCACGTGAAGACACAGTGAGAAGTCGGCATTCTGCAGCCGGGAAGGGGGCTCTCACCAGACCCCAACCACACCAGCCCCATGATCCTGGACTTCCAGCCTCTAGAACCGGGAGAAACACATTTCTGTGGTTTATAAACCACTCAGTCTGCAGCCTTTCGTTAGGCAGCCCACACGGACGAAAGCAGTAGGCGGTCCAGGGGACGGGTTGCTTGCAAGCCCGCCTGTCCACTGTGAGTGGAGACGGTCGAAACCAGCGCTGGGGAGCTGCCTGGCCACCCTTTCTCCCGCCAGGGCAAGAGAGGAGTTCCTGACGCATGCTAAGTCAATTTTTAAAAGGCTAACAAATACCATTTATTGCTAAGTGTTTGAAATGCTATCTCATTTGACGTTCATAACTTTATCCTTTTATCTTATAAGGTTGATCCAGCTAGCCCTGGCCGGTTTGGCTCAGCAGTTAGAGCATCAACCTGCGGTCCAGAGAGACCCGGGTTCGGTTCCCGCTAAGGGCATGTACCTCGGTTGCAGTTTGTCCCCGGCCCTGGTTGGGTTGTGTGGGTGGCAGCCACTCGATGTATCCCTTTCACATCGATGTTTCTCTCTCTCTCTCTCCCTTCTACTCTATATGAACAAAAAATAGAAAAATGTCCTCAGGTAAGGATAAAAAAAAAAAGATTGATCCAGCTATTATTCCTATTTGAGAGCAAGGAAATCCAGGCACGGCTTATTTAATGAAGCAGAGGTTACTAAGTGTCTTGCCCAGGGTATCATGGTAGCAAGTGGTAGAGTCAGGGCTAAAACCCAGGTAGTCGGACCCTCCAGTCAGCCCTACCCCTCTGAGCTGCGTGGCCCACAGTAGCTGTCCGCTTGGGGTCAGAGCAATCCCAGCCCGAGCGCCAGTGGGTGCCGAGTGACTGTTCCCTGACACAGAAGCCACAGGGAGCTTTTAGTAACCCCGAGCTCACCCCCATGGGACACAACCCTCCAACTTCTTGCAGTTTTTTAAAGAAACATGAATAAGACACAAAGAAATGCACTGCTCCATGAGAACCAAACTCCATCTGCCCCCTGGATTACCACCCACAATCCCACTAAGTGTGCATAGAGAAAGCCAGCCTGGCGTAACTGTTGGCTCCACGTTGGGTGATCGTATCTCCTGGGGCTTCATAAGAAAAGAAACCGTACTGACAGTGAGCCCTCCCAGGCCCCCGGGCTGGCCTGACCTGCGCACACCTCTTCCTTAACTTACCTGCGAGGAACATCCACAGCAGCCCACAGAGCCTGGTCTTCCTCATCCTTCATGGGCACCGACTGTAACTGCCACCGCTACAAGGAGACGCTCTGACCTAGTGACTCCAGAAAGTTGCACAACAGGATATGATGCTTCTACCTGGAGGTGCTGTGTCCACCATTGCTTCCATCACTGGCTGCCTCAGCCCAGACGTCAAAGACAACGCAAGAATCCAGAGGCAGGGCTCGAGACAGCACAGCTTGTCCAACCCCCGTTTCCTGTTCTCTGAGAACAATGACAATGATCTTTTCAACCAACCTACAAAATTGTTTACTTGGTGTAAACAAGAGTGAGGGATTGATAGTATCGGTGGGCTAGTGGGCCGCCTCCGGAGGCCGGCTCTCCACGCCATCCAGTTCGGAAGAGGTAGGCATGCCCGGCACACCAAGAGATGGGTTGGAATCGTAACACCTCACTTCTAGGGGCTTTGTGAGGACTCAGTGAGGTCCATATTGAAAGTGCTCAGTAAGGCACCTAACACACATGCCATGGCTACAACCTGTCCCCACACCCCACACCGTTTCCCTTGGCTCTTCCTGACATGAGGCCACCTCCCATCCGCACCGCACACCTTCCTGCAGCATACTGTACCACACAGGGCCTTGGGCTAGGAAACCCCAGAAACAATTCGACAGGACATGGCCACCATAGAACAAGAATAGACTTGGATTTTTTAAAAAGAAGAAAACAGGGTTCTATAGGAAAGAACGGTGATAAAAGAAGAAGAAGGAGGAGGAGGGGGAGGAGGAGGAGGAGGAAGAGGAAGAAGGAGAAGGAGAAGAAGGAGAAGGAGAAGAACAAGAAGAAACAACACAGCAGGCTCCATATTAGAAGCAATAAAAGACAGATCTGATGGTGTGAAAAAATAAATCAATAACAGAGAAGATTCATGTCAGAAATATTCCCAAATGCAAACTGAAGAAAGACATTCTGAAGGGATAAACCAAAGAACTTCTATGCACATACACATAACCAATGGACACAGACAACAGTGTGGGGAAGGCAGGAGGGAGTGGGAGCAGGGAGGAGGGGGTCAATGGGGGGGAAAGGGGAGACATCTGTAATACATTTAACAATAAAGATAAACAATACTCATAAAAGGTGGGGGATAGGAGAGGGCAAAGGGGGTCAAATATATGGCAACAGAAGATGACTAGGTGGTGGGCACATAATGTAATATTGAGATGATGAATCAAAAAATTTTTTAAAAACTTACCAAAAAGTCCAAATGGAATGATAGCACTGATTTTCAGTTTTATATGAATTACAAGAACCAATTTATATAGATACCAGTTATTTATACAATAAACACACAATTTTCATTTTTATATGAATTACAAAAAACAATTTATGTAGACACCATTTATTCATACAATGGCAACTTTAAAACTTTTTATTAAACAATTATGGCAGAACCATTAGCTCTGTAAGTAAGAAAGAACTGCCATTCATTCCACAGTAACTGCACTATCATCAAATAGAAGGAACACAAAGCCACTTTTATTTTTATTTTTCTCCAGTCTATACCCGAGTACATACTCTCACAGATTCTAGACAGAGAGGAAGCGAGAGGGAGAGAAAGAGAGAGAAACATTGATGTGAGAGAGAAACACTGATCCGTTGCCTCCCGAATGTGCCCCTACCAGGGATAGAACCCAAAACCTGGGTATGTACCCTGACTGGGAATTGAACCTTTGGTACACAGGACGATGCTCCAGTCAACTGAGCCACACCAGTCAGGGCCAAAATCACTTTATAAAGAAAAAAAGTTTTAAAAATCTATTATAAATTTCCAAACTCAATTTGTTAACATCTTAGTGTGTGCTAAAATTTGTGTGTCCCAAAAGAAAACACTAAACCCTCTTGTCACAATCTTGTATAAAACTAAAGTCGCCACTAGAGGGAGAGATTTACCTGGTTTATCTTTATGGGCTTCTGTTACTTCATGTGGCCTAATTAAGGGGGGTGGCATTCTAAGGGGCCATTCGCTTTTGGACTCCTTATCCTCAATACTCCAAAGGTAATATCTTTTGTCCTAGTAATATCTCTCACACTAAAATAATTTTATCCTCGAAAAATTTTTAATTTTATAGCAGCTGCTATTTTTAGGAAAGTCTACCATGGAAGCACAAGGTTGCCTTGTGGTCTGGCGGAACCTTGGTTTCTACACAGGGTCTATGACCCAGGGAGGTCCCCAAGATATGAGGCCCCTCTGTAAATGAGTGTCTCGTTACGATTCAGTTAGAATTAATTGGCTAAATATAACAGAAAACTGCGGTCAGAGTGGCTTAAGCAGAACAGTAATTTATTATCTCTCACTAAAAAAGCTCACAGTCTTCTGTTGCCATACATTTGACCCCCTTTGCCCTCTCCTATCCCCCCACCTTTTCTGAGTATTGTTTATCTTTATCATTGAATGTATTACAGATGTCTCCCCTTTCCCCCCTATTGACCCCCTTCTCCCCACCCCCACCCTCCTCCTGCCTTCCCCACACTATTGTCTGTGTCCATTGGTTAGGCACCTCAGAGCTGGTAGGGTAGTTTTGCATCATCAGGATTTTCGTTCCTACTCTCTATCCCATCATCCCAGTTCATAGCCTCCAAACTCTGTCATCTTATGGCAAGGTGACTACTGGAGCTCCAGCCATCACGTTGATATTCTAGGCAGCCAGAAAGTTTTTCAGATCAACTACCTTAGCCTCAGTGGGTCTTCACCTCTGCTCTGGGGTATCAGGTTTCTTGCCTCTAACCCAGTGGTTTGATGCTTCTGTTCTAGAGAAGATAAATGTCTGTCTCCCACTTTCTTTCTCCAAGCTCCCACTGGGGAGACTCCCTACCTCCAATCTTTTTCATGAGCCCCTGGAAAAGAGATTGCAATTGGGTGTGAGCACTCCTTCTGTGTCTTGGAATCTCAGGAGTTCTGCCCTGTCATGATAGGCTGCATTGACCTTTGACAGCTTATTAAAATCTTAGCTGAAGTGTTCATGTCCACTTGTTTTATATCCTGCATCCCTTCCTCCCTTTCTGTGAACAGGTGAGCCAGTGCTCACGTCTCACTTGGAGTGGCCTGTCTTCCCTTGGATTTTAGGTTACTTGGTTGCCTTACAAACTCAGCTCTCTTATAGGTTCAGAAAAAGGTTATCTGGCTTTTTTCTTCTTGTTCAGATGAGAGCAGTACTCTCTTGAGCTTTCAAAATACTAGGTAGAAACTGAACATGAGAGGCAATGTGTGAAGAATGGCTGAGAATTTTTCAGAGCTATGAAAAGTCATTAAGCCACAAATGCTGGTTGTCATCAACCAATCAGTATAAACAAAAAAGAAATCCTCCTCTCAGCATATTGTCGAGAAATTGCAGAACAGAAAGGAAGCAACCATTACTTACGAAAAACGTTAGATAGCAGACTTTTCAACTGCAACAATGCAAGCTGGAAGGTAGTGGAATAGCATCAACTAAATGCTTAGGAAAATTAACTGTTAGACTAAAATGATACACCCAACAAAACTCTCAATAGTGGGAGCTGTGTTCATTAGCATCAGGCTCAGCTACAAAGTAGAGAAAAACTCCAAATAACAGAGCTTTAACACAACTAGACATTTATTTCCACCTTGTGTGAAACAGAGCTAGGCTGTCTAAGGGGTGGGAGGGTCGGTGCTCCACGAAGTTCTCAGCCTCGGGCTCACCTGCTCCCAGCAATGAGGGCTCAGTGTCCAGGACTTCCCAGAGCCTCCCCCAAGCCCACTCTGAGGCAGGAGTCAGGAATTAGAAGTTATTGTGACATTCTCAGGGGACCTCTGGACAGTGGGTGGCACCCCAATGACATAGGGGACAGTGACCAGAATACTGGGAGAGAGAGAGAGCGACTGGTCACAGGAAGAAAGAGATCCTTTTGTTGTCTTTGCTCCTGGCTCCTGGGTGTGAAGAAGGAGACAGGGCAGAACAGGAGGGAGAAATATGAGGTAATAGAAACAGGGACAGGCCTGGTCGGTAGCTCAGTGGTTAGAGCATCAGCCTGCAGTCCAGAGAGACCTCGGTTCAGTTTCTGCTGGGGGCACGTACCTCGGTCGCAGTTTGTCCCCGGCCCTGGTTCGTCGTGCGGGTGGCAGCCACTCGATGTGTCCCTTTCACATCGATGTTTCTCTCTCTCTCTCTCTGTTCCTCTCTCTCCCACTCTACCTGAACAAAAAATGGAAAAATGTCCTCGGGTGAGAATTTAAAAAAAAAAAAAAAAAGGCACTGACCAAGGAACCCCACAGTTTCACGGAGGGACTACCCCTGACCCTGTGTGCAAGGAGAACAGGGCCTCGCACCCGGGCTGTGCATTCCTCACCTAGACTAAGGGTCTCAGACCCTCCTCAGCCTGGACTGCAGCCTCCTCCAGAGGCTCCCGCCTCTATCACGGGCCCCAGAAATCTGTGGCCACCCTGCTACTGGGGTCAGCTGTGGTTCCTGGGTCTCTCCCTCATCTCCTACACCCCATTTCTGCCAAGACCAGCAATTCTGTCTCAGCCTGATGCCCCTGCACCCCCTGCCCCCCATCCCATCTCCCACGTACCCCTGGTCAGCTCTCAGCAGGTCTGCATTGGAGCCTGCAGAGCTGACCTTGCCTCGTGTCTCTGCTTCAATGCAGTCTGCCCACCGCTCTCGCTCCGACTTTCTGAAGCATGTCTGTTCGCCTCGCTTCATCATTTGAAACCACTTGTAGTTCAAAGACATCCGTAAGGAAAAGGCCAATAACCTTAAGAAAAAAGCACAAAGGACATGAACAAGCAGGTCGTGGGGGAAAATGCAAACAGTCCGTCAATGTTCAAAAAAGAGAGTCTTCCTGGTGTGGACGAAAAGGGGCCACGTGCCAACCCGACAGGCTCAGGGAGGCCTGCGTGTCGGCCTTGCAAACTCGGAGACCTACAGTAACCACAACGGCTGGTCTGAAATTAAAACTTCTAAACCAAAAGCAGCGCATGGCAGGTAGTCAAGTCCTAGGCCAGCATCTTCCCTGACAAAGACTAGTCTTTACCTTAACTGAGTCTGTCTCTTGTCTTTTTGCATCTACGATAACATATCTTTGGAATGGCAAAGTAATTTT